CCCCCGCCATGCCCCGCCACCCCCCGCCGCGGCTACCCGAGGTGCAGGGCCCTGTGCGGCTCCCTGGCAGGAGGACATCCAGCCGGGAGTGGGGAGGGCCCTGCGTGAGCCCCGCAGCCCTGCGCCCTCTCCTGCGTGCAACAACCTCGTTTTTAAAAGAAAGCTCTGCCTTTGTAGTGAAATAAACTTGAGTTTTTTACTGTTGTCAGTGGAGGCCCCAGGGCAGCACATCGTGGCCGAGCAGGGGGCCCTGGCACGGGGACGGCTGTGCCCATCCTGCCACAGCCTCCGCTGGGTGCCGGAGCTGAGGCTGTGCTGGTACCTAGACTGAGCATCCCACCATGTGCCAGGGCAGAGTGTTTGCTGCTTCAAGCGTTAGTTCTCTTCAACAGAATCTCTGTTTTACTTCTAGGAGAAGGGCGGGTAGCAGTGGCCTTGGCAAGGTGTCCCCGGCTCTGCACAGCCCTGGGTGCGGGTGGCAGCAGGGTGCTTCCCGTGGGGGGCACGTGCTGTGACGGCACTTTGGCCGCTCTGTGGGCAGCACAGGCCCACCACATCCCTCTCAGCCTGTCTCAGCTGGTTTTCTGATGTGCTGAGCTTGACTGTCCCTGTGCCCCCCGGCCCTGCTTGCCTTCCTCCCCAGGCACTTGTGTCTGTGCGCCTGCAGGCTGCCCCTTCCTGGCACCGCTGCTGTCTCCCCGTGCAGTGCCCGGCTCAGCAGCTCTCCCCGCTGCCCTGCTGTGGAAAAGGTGGGGGCTGGTTGCTCTTTTGCTGCAGCGCCCAGACGAGTTTTCATTTAACCTGCCAGAGTTTTGTGGTCTTCCGTTCGGCCGCAACCCCCACGTCATGACATGTGGCCTGTCCTTCCTCGGGGGCCCCTCCACTCCCCTGTGCAGTTACACCACCTTGTTTCTGAGGGTGCACCCTTGCGCTGCTTGAAGCCCTCATGCTGGCAGGGATGTGTCTACAGCACCCAGCACTGCACTTTTTTTCCCATAAAAAAACAAGGAAGCTCTTTTTGTGTTCTGTTGCCCTGATGTCCCGAACTACTGACCGCCCCTCTCCTACAAACCAAAGTAGATGGCTGGACACAGTTACCCCTTTTCCGGAGCTGTGGCTGCTCCCTGCGTCCTGTGTCACGGCAGGGCTTGAACCCCGTCACGAAGGTGCTGTCGTGTCTCAAAGCCCCTGTGCTGCTGGGGACCCCTTGCTGCACCTGACTGCAAAGTAGCACAATCCCCTCCTGCCAGCAGCCTGCTGCCAGCTGGCCTCAACCTCCTCCCCAGCCTGCTGCATGGGCCGTCTGTTGCCTGCAGCCTGTTGCATGGGATGCCTGCTGCCTGCAGCCTACTGTATGGAGGAGTCTGCTGCCTGCAGCCTGCTGCATGGAGGCGTCTGCTGCATGGGGCTCTCTGCTGCCTGCAGCCTGCTCGGTGTGTGCAAGGAGAGCCTTTGTGGTGCTGTTTGCAATGGGAAGGATCCGTGACTGCTCTGCAGATGCCAGCAGCTCAGCAGCAGCACAACATGGCCCAGTCTGCTGCACTGGCATCCTCAAAAGCCAGAGGGAGGTGAGAAGACAGTGCAGGAGTCCTGCTGCAGCAGAGCATGTGCTCCTCCAACACCCCGGCAAGAGCAGCGCTCACATCAAGGCAGGGCAGCCACGGGGCACGCGGGGCTGCTGTGTACCCTGACATAGGCACACGCGTGCGTGCGCACATGGCAACGCTGCAGACGATGCTGCCTTGAGCCAAGATGCTTTTATTGAAAAGACCTGCCCCAGGGCAATCCTCCCGCCACCCCTTCCCCACCTTCTGCAGCAGGCATTGAGCAGCACCCAGAAGGAGCAGTCCTGAAAGTGCTTTGCTGGGACATTTATTCCTGGAAGACGCTGGATCCTTGATGCTTGATTGTGGGCTGCAGAGCCAGCCCCTGCTCAGCTGTGCGCCACGGGGCCGAGGGCACAGCCAGCAAGCTGCAGTGAGGCTGCATCGCTGCAGCAGAGGGGCCCTCATGCCATGTCCCCCCAGCGCAGCTGGGCACCCTGGGCCCAGCCTCGGCCTCTGGCACGGAGCAGGGCAGGTCCCGTGGGACAGGTGTCGGGAGCTCACACACATTGCCCCAGTGCCACCTCCTCCAGCCCCAGGGTGGCCAATGGCTCATCCTGTCCTTGCATGGCCGGGCAGACTGCACAGAGCCAGAGGGCTGCCAGCCCCTTCCTGCAGGTCTGTGCTGCACCAGCCACCCTGGGGCAGTGCATGGGGCTGGCTCCAGGAGAGAGCAGCTGCAGCGACCACGTGCAGGAGGACAGAGGGGGCCAGGAGCAGGGTGATGCTGTCAGAGCTGGGGCTGTCCCCAGAGCAGGGACAGGCTGAGCCGCCCGAGCCCCCCAGCACCACCTGCGGGCAGCACAGGCACTGCCTGCCTCACAAGGGCCCAGCAGCTCCCCCACAACCAGCTCCAGCTTGACAGGACTATTTTTCTACTAGGCAAACAGCAACACCGCAGCTGTGCCCTCGCCCGAGCTGCCCCATGGCACAGTGCGTCTCGTGGCAGCCCT